TCTGATACCATACACAAACTCAAAATGGATTAAAAACCTAAATGTAAGACCAGGTACTATAAAATTTCTACAGGAAAACATTGATAAATGAGGTTTTAAAGTGTATCTGTAGTGTGGTAGTGGTGGTTTAGTCACTAAGTTTTGTCTGACTCTCGCAAGCCCATGGACTGTAGCCCTCCTGGCTCCTCTGTCCATGAGATTTTCCAGGCAAGAATACTGGAGTGGGTTGCCCTTTCCTTCTCCAGGGGATCTTCCTGACACAGTGGTCAAACCTGTGTTTCCTGCATTGCAGGTGGTTTCCTGCATTGCAGGCAGATTCTTTACTGCAGGGCCACCAGGGAAGCCCAACTTTTAGCATGGATTTTGTCTAAATTAGCTGCTAAATTCATGAAATGACTTTCTTTGATTAGATTAACCTAGAAGTCATATAGAACAATCTTTAACATAAATTGCAGCAATGTTTGTTTGGATCTGCCTACTAAAGCAAAGAAACAAAAGCAAAAATAAATAAATGGGGCCTAATGAAACTTAAAAGCTTTTGCACAGCAAAGGAAACCAACTACAAAATGAAAAGGCAGTCTACTGAATGAAAGAAGATATTTGCAAATGATAGACTGATAAGGGGTTAATATCTGTTAATATCCAAAATATATAAACTCAGCATCAAAACAACCAGATTAAAAAATGGGCTGAAGAACTAAATAGACATTTTTCCAAAGAGGAAATGCAGATGGCCAACAGGACATGAAAAGATGCTCAACATCACTAATTATCAGGGAAATGTAAATGAAAACTACAATGAGATATCACCGTACACTGGTCAGAAAGGAAATCATCAAAAAGAATGCAAATAGCAAATGTTGACAAGGGTGTGGAGAAAAGGGACACTTAGACACAGTTGGTAAAAGTGTAAATTGGTACAGCCACTGTGGAAAACAGTATATCGGTTTCCTCAGAAACTAAAAATAGAACTACCATGTGACCCAGGGATTCCACTCCTAGGAATATATCTGAAAAAAAAAAAACAAAAAACACTGATTCAAAAAGGTACACGCACCCCAGTGTTCATAGCAGCATTATTTACAGTTGCCAAGGTAGATAATATGGGAACAAGCTAAGAGCCCATCAACAGATGAATGGATAAAGAAGATGTGATATGTGTGTGTATATATATATACACACATATATACATAACATACAATGGAATACTACTCAGCCATAAAAAAGAATGTGATTTTTGCCTTTTGCAGTGACATGGATGAACTTGGCGGGGGAGCTCATTATGCCAAGTAAAATGAGTCAAACAGAAGACAAGTACTGTATGATATCACTTATAAGTGGAATCTAAAAAATGCAACAAACCAGTGAATAAAACAAAAGAAGCAGATTCAGAGCACAAACTAGTGGCTACTGGTAAGGGGGGCGGAAGGAGAAAGGGGCAGTAGAGGGGTAGAAGTAAAAAAAGGTTATCTTGGGATTATATGAAATTGTGTGTGGAACTTTAAAAATTTAAAGCACTATAGAATTTAAAGAATCTTTCATTTAATAAAAAAATTGAAAATGTGTGTGTTCTGTTAGAAGAAATAAGAAAAAGCAAAACTTTAAAAATGCTATATGTATGCTTTTTAAAATGCTATGTGTACCTTTTTAATGCTATATGTTCATTTTTGTCATCAATACAAAACTGAGTGTAGAATAAGATACCATGATTCCCAGTTGTAGAATGCTTTTTGTATACTACATTGTACCATAATACCCTTCTCAGTCAGTTGGACCAACTATTCATTGTAGTTGATACTCAAAAGATTGATTTAGATCCTTTAACTTTGTTGAAATGGAATTTTATTAGTACAACTTGGATTAAAGGAGAAAGTTTTGATTTATGACTACTGGAAATCTTGAGTTTTTCCAGTTTCACTCTACTTTATGAAAACATCATCTGACTAGTAACTCCCAATTTTCTAGTGGTCTTATGGCTTTGGAAAAACTTATTCATGGTACTATTTCTTATTTGAATTGTTTTGAATTTTAGGAGAGTAGTTAATAAGAAGCCTTTTTCCAAATTTGTATTGGAGAGTGCACATACTGTGTTTTTTTTTTTTTTTTTAATTAATTAATTAATTAATTTCACTGCACTGGGTCTTAGTTGTGGCATGTGGGATCTAGTTTCCTGACCAGGGATCAAACCCAGGCCCACTGCATTGAGATGCAGAGTCTTAGCCACTGGGCCACCAAGGAAGTCTCCTACCTGCTATGTTTTTACTTGTGCATAAAGGAAAGTAGCTTGATGAGGAGTATGAGATGTGTAACAGCTTTTGCTATACCTGAAAAAGAAGTAAATTGGTAAAACCGGTAGAACATTATAGACAAAAGAGGTGGAAACACAGGGACATTTGTATCTGACCAGGTTTTCATGAAGCAGCTAATGTACCGAGATTCTTTTGTCCATACTCTAGGATGTGCTATGCAGACCACTGTAGGAAATTGAGGTGCAATGTCTTTGACCTGTAGCCAGTCACTGTTTACCTCCAACTTGTCTTCAGTTTAATGTGTTTCCAGGTGCTTGGATATAACATCTTCTTTACCAATTTATTTATTTTCACACTGCTGTCACAGAGACTTGGAAAATAAAGTTAATTTTATAGATTAAATAAATGGAATAGGATGAAGATGATAAGCCACACTCATTCTTTGTCAATCAAACTATTGCTTTTCCAGTAAGTCTCAATTTGTTCAACTTTTTCTTATACTTCTGCTCCTAAGGATATTAAAACTGGGAGGGAAAAAAATGCAAAAAATAAAATAAAAATTGGAGCATATGAAGCTACAGGTTTGTATGAAAATATTAATCATCAAGCTGTGTAGAAAGATAGTATGTTACCTTTTCATCTGTGAAAAATTTAGTTGTATGTTACCCATGTTCCATATGTTGTTTAGATGGTCAGCAGCTTCTAAAAAGCGGATTTGGGTGCTGACTTATCATATATTTAACCTAGTGGTATGACTTAGTACTGTAAACTGACTTGTGCTCTGAAGAAAAAATTACTGTCCTCACTTTTCCACATCAGTGTTTCATCATGTGTCCAGCAGATGCCTCACTTTGTCTCCTTGTAAAGTGAAAGTTAGTTGTTCTGTCATGACCCCGTGGACTGTAGCCCACCAAGCTCCTCTGTCCATGGAATTCTCCAGGCAAGAATATTGGAGTCAGTTGCCATTTCCTTTTCCAGGGGATCTCCCCAATCCAGGGATGGAACCCAGGTCTCCTGCATCGAAGGCAGATTACCATCAGAGCCCCGAAGGAAGCCCCTCTTCAGGTTGTTTTTAATCACACCAAAGTTTAAGAACTAGATCTTTTTTAGGAAGTAAATTTTTGTACAAGTTGTAGTATTATAAATGAATATAATTCATGCTGGCTACAATTTGGTGTTTTGTTACTGATAAAGAATGATCAAAAAGATTTTTTATGAAACCAAGCATATCCCATGCTATGTGATTAAGGTGGAGTTCTGAGATCCTCCTTATATGCCCATGTATTTTGTTGGTTGTATCAATATTATCTTTAATCATGCAACTGCTTTTGTTCTAACTCTACTCCATTTCCCTGTTAACATAGGAATTAATGACTTTCCTAATGTAGCATTTTACTGAAATGGCTTCTGAAGTTTCTGAGAATTACTTTAGGAAAATGAGCTATTTTTACCGACATCTTTGAGTGACTTGTGTTGAAAGGTGACTTCTGGCCCGATCCATAGACTTCGTGGTGAAGAGGGTCGTGTTGGCTGCTGGTCAGTGTCTGAGTTCTCCTCCACCCTGTAGGTTCGCTCTCTCATTTCTTGCTCCCCCTTGCCTCCTTTATAAACTCAGCGACCTACATGATGGAGTTAAAAATTTGTCTCACTCTGATTTTTAGGAAAATTTTGTGTCATTGTTGAGCTCAGTGAAATCAACTGCTTCCTTTATGAAGTAGGATTACAGATAACTTGGCTTCTCTGGTGGCTCAGACGGTTAAACGTCTGCCTACAATGCAGGAGACCCGGGTTCAATCCCTGGGTTGGGAAGATCTCCTGGAGAAGGAAATGGCCACCCGCTCCAGTACTCTTGCCTGGAAAATCCCATGGATGGAGGAGCCTGGTAGGCTACAGTCCATGGGGTCACAAAGAGTCAGACACGACTGAGCAACTTCACTTTCACAGATAACTTATTCTAAAGATATCTTTTGTTATTTTCTTGTTCCCTGAAGGAATGTGTAAACAGGATACAGGATTTTTATAATGAATAATTTAAAAATTATTATTTTAAATTGGCAATTTAAATATTGGGGGAGGCTGGCGATTAGTTTACTCTTTGGAGGCAAGCACGTGTTTCCTTTTTTTATGTTGCCCTGTAAAGAACACTGTCTCATAGAGTAAGAAGTAATTTACATTTCACAAAACCTGTGATAGTTTTTGCCCCCACGCAAGGATATATGTTCCCCCTAGGGGTTGATTATACCTGTGCTATCCAATATGGTAGCCATTAGCCACATGTGGCTGTTTAAATATAAAATTAATTAGAAGTAAATAAAATTCAGTTTGTTGAACCAACTACATTTTAAGTACTCATTAGCCACGTATCACAAATAACTACTGTTTTGGACAGTGGTAGTTTCTATCATTGCAGAAAGTGGTCTTGGACAATGCTGTATTAGGCTAGCCATTTTTAAGAAGAGAAAGAGGTGAGAATTCTCTGGTGGTCCAGTGGTCAGGATTGTGTGCTTTCACTGCTGAAGCCCTGAGTTCAATCCCTGGTCAGAGAGAGCTAAGATCCTGCAAGCCACGAGGCACAGCCAAATAAATAGAAGAGTGAAAGAAAGAGGCCAATGAAAGACCTGAGTTTCTTCCTTCCACAGTGCAACTTTCCCTGTCTCCTCGTACCCTTGATTAAAAATTCAGAAAAAGGTCTGTAGTTTTGTGTATCATCACTTTGACATTTTTTTTTTAATGTTCATTTCTGTTTCCCAGGCTGGCAGTGATGGTGAAAGCATAGGAAACTGCCCCTTTTCCCAGAGGCTCTTCATGATTCTTTGGCTCAAAGGAGTTGTGTTTAGTGTCACAACTGTTGACCTGAAAAGGTAAGACTTGGTTATGGTTAGGGATCAACCTGAGTACATACGTTACTGTTTCAGTTTGATCGTCTCCCCGTCTCTCACTCTAAAGAAATGTATTAAAGTTCAGCTGATTGATGGACACATTTAACTTGCGTAAGTATTACAGATAATTCACAGTGTCAGTATATTGCATGTGACCACTCTGTGTTTTTAAGAACTTATTGTATGTTTACCCTATATTTCAAGAGCAGCACCAGGAGCTATTTTAGTGTAGATGCAGTGACATCTTTGATGTTACAGGATGAGCATGGAACTATGAAGAACTTTCTAAGCAGATGCCTTCTCATGTGCTAGTAAACACATGGCCTATGTATCTGGATTTTTAAAACCAAGCATTGAATTTTAGGAGGTTGATTACTGCTGTGGTCTTTTTCATTTAATCTACTTTTCAGGGAATAATAGGAGTTTTCTATAAAACAATTTTGACCATATTTGGTTAAATACAATTATAGAGTAAGAGCAGTTATCTTGCTCTATGGCCCTGTGATTGTTCTTGCTAGTTGAAGGATGTTTCTAATTTTCTCTCCATAGACCAAAGTGGAGAGGGCTGTGAAGAGCCCTGATAAGCAGTAAGCTGTTTTCCTCAGGAATTTCTGTTGTCCCCTAGCAAACAGATCCGAGGCGAAGAACATTCATACTTTTTTATTAAAAAAAGGTTTAAGCCAAGGGTTGAGAACATTTATACCAATAGACAGTTTAGGGTGTGGCAGTAGAAATGTATATTCCTCTTGACACAAACGCCACGGCATGCGTTGCTGTTTATTTTGTGAGCATGTCAATCATGGACAGTATCCAAGCAACAGTATTGACAGGCTGTCACTTGTGGGTAGCAGAATTCACGTGCATTCTTCTTCTGGGCATCACAAGGTGAGAGTTATTTGACAGCTGTAATCCCATGCCCTGTTCTTGGTTATCATTCTCTGGGACCTTAAAATTTTTTTTTTTTTTGGCTTCACTTAATTAGATTTTGAGGACTTAAAATGTCTTTATTGAAAATAAGTCATAAAGTCTTCTAGGAACCCCTTTGGTTATATATATGAGCATAGAAGTAAGCCTTGGAAATTGTAAGAATTAACACTACAGGTTCATTTGAAGAAAAACCTGGCTATATTGGACAGGACTGTTGTAAGAATGAAATAATTTATAGTTACCCTTCTATTACTGTTTTTTTCCTACACGCATTCACAAAGGGAGTTTCCCAATATAACTCCTAAAAATAGACCATGCCGCCAAGCACACACCCTTAGTGTGTCTTAAAATACATGGATTCCTCCTATTCCATTTTTGGCTTGGAGTAAGTGAATTGACTGCCATGCTTTGAAAAAAGCCTTTTTTGAACAGCCCAATACAGTGCTTGATTGTGGTACATACCAGTAATAGCACAAAAAACGATGGGAATCTGGTTCAGAAAAGGAAGTGAACTTGTAACAGCCGTTTCTAATTCATCTGTTTCACTTTTCACTTACAAACTTTTTAAGACATTATTCCTGGAAGTTGATTGATATTTGAGGGCTTGTATATGTTTAGGGCTTGTATATGTAATGTACCCTGCATGTAAAAAGTGACACAGAAGTGGGATGAAAAATTCAGGGTTTTCTCACATAAAATATACTACTCCAGATATATGTTTATTTCCTAGAGCTTTGTGTTAAATAAACAGAGAGCACTGAATATTGGAGCCTATATTCTTTAGCATTCTTTAAAAATCTTAGGTCTACAGTATATATTAAAAAATAAAAAAACCTTCTTAAGATCAATTAAAAGTATACAGCTAGTAAATGGTAATGAGTCCCCTTCATTCCCAACCTTGGTCATCAAGTTCCCCTTCACAGAGATAATTGAACTTAGGTTTGGTGTTTATCATTCTTCCAGATCTTTTCTATGAGTTTCACCCTTATATGGGCTTCCCAGGTGACTCAGTGGTAAAGAGTCTGCCTGCCAAGTAGGAGACATGGGTCTGATCCCTGGATTGGGAAGCTCCCCTGGAGAAGGAAATGGCAACCTACTCCAGTATTCTTGTCCGAGAAATTCCATGGACAAAGGAGCCTGGTGGGCTGCAGTCCATGGGGTCGCTAAAGAGTTGGACACAGTGGGCAACAACACCACCCTTAATATGTAGTCTAACTAAGATTTCAAAGAGAAGGTACCTAAAGAAAGTAAACATTGGCTCAAGAAAAAAAATGTAAATAGAATAAAGTTGTCACAGAAGAATAAAACATCATGTAGTAAAAAGTACCTTTCAAAAAGAAAAAAGTACCTTTCATAATTTTTAAAACTTTAAATGTGACTGATTTTAGAAAGCTGTGGGGGAGAAAAGATCTGGTTCCCACAGTGGTTGTTTTCTGCTTTTTCTGATAATTGCCTAATTTCTTGGTGAAATGTACTGATCCCAGAACAAGCTGGTGGAGAGCAATAGAACTCTACTGAGAGCTTTTTAGAAGCCCACTCTCTGCTCTGAAAAAATTATTGTTACATGACATTTCATCCATAAGAACAAGCCAGTTTCTAGTTCTGGCACTGTATGACAGGTTCTCTTTGAAGCTCAATTGGTGTTAATGACTATGCTGGAGGTATTCATATGCCCCTGTGATACTTGGAGCAACCTACCATTGCTTGCCTGCCGGTGCTGCCTTAATACTTTAGTGGGAGTAATTTCTAAACCTAATTTTCAGTTTATGCTGCAATCATATTACAGAACTTTTAGATTAAAAAAAAGTTTGTAGGCTTTATGAGGAATTTAAGTTTTTATCAACTGCCATTTGAACAAAAGCTTCAGGCAAATGTAAGTGAAAATAATAAAATGTGGGGCACATTTCAAGATGTTATCACATCATCAAAAGGGGAGCAACCATGGCATAGTAGAAAATTCGAGAGGCAGAGACCTGGTTCTGTGCAGAGAGAGCCTGTCCCTGGTTTCCCTGGGACCTCAGGCAAGTTACCTCATCTTCTTCGAGGTCAGTTACCTCATTTTTAATCTCAGAAAGGAGAAAGGGGAAAATAAACTGGCATTTCTTCAGTGTCTATTACATGTTAAATATCTTCACCATACTTATTAGAAACTACTCATATCAAACCATGTTCAGACCTTTCATTGAATAGAATTATTTTATCACACTGGTGTTATAGGGCCTTTCTAGCTAACAGGTTCATGGCAGTGATCAAGAGCTTTATTTAAAGACTTCCACTATCTTCACTGTGCTCAGAAGTTCCTAAATCAGAGATCAGCATCATCAGAGCACAGATAAACCTGAGAGGTAGGCTGGAGGAAGAGAAAGAAGAAAGCGTGAAAACAGTAATGAGAGAGACAGTCACACTGACTGGGATGTAGCTGAGTGTGGCCATGTAGTTGTTAGGGTGAGCTCCTCTGGCTTGGGGAACTGAGAGTAGAACTGATAACTTTAAGAAATTAGCTTTTTATTTTAAAAGCAGTGTTATATTACTAGTGCATAAAATTCCTCCTCCATGATATTCTCAGAGAAATTAAGTAAATTGGGGAAGACCACCTTAAAAGTCTGAGCAGTATTTTTTTTTCATTTTCCATTCCTATTGAAACTCTCATCCTTTGAGGTGTTGCTAATTTCCTTCTGCTTTAGAAGTCTGCACACCATTTGTAACATTGTGTGAATCAGACCCACAGTAAGTTGCCATTGTCATGGCATAAAGTTTGGAAGATTGCTATGATAGTTTAAAACAATTTTGAAGTAATTTAAAATGTTACAGTGGAACTATGAAAATGATAGCTCTGTGTGTCTTAAAAGGACTTATAAACTCAGAACAAAATCTGATTTCCAAGTATATTTTTGAGGTAATTTGCTTTCATTATCACTTTCATTATCTCTGTGGTTCCACCCTTCTGAAAATAGTCATTAGCAAGTTGAGAGATCAGTTTGAGTTCCAGGTATTTCTTTAGTAAACAGCAGCTTGAATGACATGTACAGAGAGACTAAGTGGAGTGGAACAGTCCAGCCTTTTAGAGAAATCATTCATTTCCTGCTGCTAGTCAGGCAGGAAAGTACAGACTCTGTCCTTTCCCTTCGTGAAGTTGACTTGGGCTACATGAAGCCCTTGTTAGAATGGTCCTACAATTGAAGATACATGTCTCATGAATGCATTCTGAATCACATGTGTACTTTCGGTATGTGTGTGTGAGACAGACAGACAGGGAGAATTTCATTGCCATGTGTCTTTATGTTCTTTTTCAAGATAATTTCAAAGATGGAAATCCTGTTGAGGCCACTAAGAGCTGAATTAGAAAACTGGATTGTAAATGAAAGGTTTTCTAAACCTGTTACCAGTGTGTGTTCGTGAGTGCTCGGTCACTTGAGTCATGTCCAGCTCATGTCCAGACTCCATGGACTGTAGCTCTCCAGGCTTCCTCTGTTCTTGGGATTCTCCAGGCAGGAATAGTAGAATGGATTGCCATTCCCTCCCCCAGGGGTATCTTCTCCACCCAGGGATTGAACCTGGTGTCTCCTGCATTGTAAGTGGATTCTTTACTGCTGAGCCACCGAAAAGCTCTGTTATCAGTATACATTCTGCTTATAAACTATAAATCTGTTAAGAATTATAAAAGTTGTATTTGATACCTTTTCATAGATGTTATTTTGTTTTAAAATGACTGCTCCACAAATTGACTTTCAAGTAGACAGGGATCAGCAGTATACCACATTTGATCACAATAAATAAAATCCTTTAACTGGTTAAACTGGGACACATTACTAAGCAGATGCTTAGTAATGGGGATCTTGGTGTGTGTGGTTTGATGTCCACAACGATTCAGTCATTCAGTTAGTGATTTAGTATTAGTCAGAATATTGCAAATCTAGTGAAGAATAATTAATAGGAGTAAAGTGATCTGAACCAAAAGATTTGTGTTGTTACTTTTTTTTTCTGCTAATTTGCCATATACTATGTCTAGCATTCTCTTGACTTATGTGAATTAATTTTATGTCTGAAAAATCAAC